GATGGCGGTGACGATTGTATCGTACCAAGTACTCCTACTCTCTTTGTTCCTCGTCGCGATGGTTTCGGTGAAGCTGTGAGTTCTCCGCAGGTGCCGCAAGGGCGTTTCACTTTTGGAGACTCTTCGGCACCTACGACAGCTTCTTCGACACCGTCTTTAACAACATCCACAGGCTCTAATACTAGGATTTTTGGTTCAACTAATTCTGCTGTTGTCCAGGAAAGCCTGGATGATAGTAGAATGGACCTGACACAACTGGAGGATGGTGGAACTGGTCGTAGTGTTCCCACGACACCACTTCAGGTTTCCCCAGCTGCGGATTTACCTCCTTCGGTAAACAAATTTCTGTTTTTTATTATAATTCCTTATGAAAACATTAAAGATTAAAACTATTGGTAGTAATGTTTCCCTTTCACAATTTTCATTGCAATAGACTAGTAGCAGCCAATCTGAAGAACAAGAGAGCACCGTAACACATGTTACCGTAACGGCCACTTCTGGAGATAATATTGAAGATTCTAACATTCCCAGCATTCATATTGTTGGTGTTGATGATCAACAACGAGGTTCCACTGAAGCTACAGAATCTAGCGCAACTCCAAGTGAAGGTATCTCATTGAAATCTAATCATATTCAAAAGTTTAAAACATTCTCTTTCTCTCTCTCTCTCTCTCACTCACTCACTCACTCGACTTATTAAATTGATTTATTCGAACCTTTCGGCTTGCTCTTTTTTGGCCTTTCAACCTTTCTATTTTGCTTTGCATACACGACCTTGATTTTTAAATATTATTTTAAATATTAAAAAAAAATTTAGTTTCTATGAAAATGAATATATGATTTTATTGTTTTTATTTTCATAGGAGTGAGCTCGGAGGGTGAAAAGCGGGAAGAAGAACCAGTAGTTTTAGCATCTGGAGAGGATGATGCTGTGGATACGGCAGAAGCGACGGAAGAGACAGGAAGCGAACTTGTCGAAGAAGAAGTCGAGGAGGAGAATCGGGAAGCGGAAGCATCGCCGTCTAGTAACACACGACAAAGAACAATGGCAGCGAATCTGGCGGCAGCGAGTGACGCCAATAATGCCAGAGGAATGACAGTGAGAAGATCGCCGAGATCACCTTTCCCGCCGAGGGCAAGAGGTGCGAGGCCTACACCGATTGTGTGGGGCGAAACTCAGTCGGGTAGAGGTGAGAAACGAAGCACGATTAAATAAGATTTTATCCATCTATTTCGAGACAAGATTTTTTTCTTTTATTACATTATTTTTTTACCTTAATAATGTAAGTTTTTTTTCATTTTTTATATAAAAGATGAATGATTTACTACTCAATTATTTTATATGTACATATATTAAATTATTATTTACTTATTTTAGCATCTTTCAGTTTGCTCGTTTCTTAGCCTTCAACCTATTTTGCTTTGCATATACTGACTTGATTTTTAACTATTATTTTTAGAGTCCGATCGGAACATTTACTGAAACTGAAAACGAACACTCATTACGTATTAGTTTCAACTGAAAACCATATAGCTTTTCATAAATATTAATTTTTATATGTGTAATTATTATTTTAATAATTAAATTATGATATTTAATATATTGAAAAAGTATTTATATTCTTTGGCCAAAATTGATACACAATCGAAATTTCAGTTTTCAATTTCGACCGAAATTTAATTACTGTTTCAATAAACTATGATATTTAATATTGAAAAAGTATTTATATTCTTTGGCCAAAATTGATACACAATCGAAATTTCAGTTTTCAATTTCGACCGAAATTTAATTACTGTTTCAATAAACTATGATATTTAATATTGAAAAAGTATTTATATTCTTTGGCCAAAATTGACACACAATCGAAATTTCAGTTTTCAATTTCGACCGAAATTTAATTACTGTTTCAATAAACTATGATATTTATGAAAAAAAAGTATATGATGGACATGTCTATACATATGGCTTTTATAGGATTCCTATTTTTTAATTTTGGTTTTGGTTTCGGTTGAAATTAACATGTAGCCGAGTGCTTCCGTTCAATTTCGGCAAAAGTTTCGATCAGATTCTAATTATTTTAAAAAGTTTAGCTTAGCA